ACTGAGAGGAATTCTGTTAGTCCAGGCTGATTCTGTAACAGACAGCCCTGAAGTCTAAACATATTAAACATTTCTTTCTTTTTTTCTTCACAAATGTGAGTCAGGGGACCCAGGTTCCTTTCTGTCCTTAGCACTGCAGAAGGTGAGAGTGAAGACTGCCCATCGATGTGGTGCGTTTCACTCCTACCCACGTCCATTGGCCCAGTGCTCATCTAAGCCCCACCTTGGGACCAGGACAAGTAGTTTTTCTGATTGTCCAGGAAGAAATGGAGAAAATAGAAGTGGGTGACCCTCAGCAGCCCCTGACACAGGGAGGGGGGCCAGGCCAGGCTAGTCCTTGGAAGTCATGGTTGGGAGCTGGTTCTGTATTCTTGGGGCAGAAGATCTGATTTGCACTTGGCCACAGGTCTGGGAAGGTATTAACATAACCATAAGGGCAGCTGCCAGCCATGACCACTGTGGCCTCCTCCCAGGAGGAAGGAGCCATCCTGCCTGGAACCAGAGTTGCAGCGTGGCGGCTTACCAGAACCCATTAGGACGGTCAGGCTTCTGTCTGCGTGCGTCATGGAGGTGTGGCTCTGGGCCCCTGTCGCTCGTGCTCTGGTATCCTTTGGAGGGTGGGGGCAGTCAGGGGAGGACTCTCAGCTTTCACCAGAGTAGGCAGGTAACCGCAGAGCTAGGGTTTCAGGGGAATGTGATCCCCAGGGCGTGCCTGGGGTCTGGTTTCTAGGGGGGTTGGAGGAGCAGGTTGGCAGTGGCTGAGCCAGCCTGCTGAGTTTGGCCACCCACTGAAGGGCTCTGGGCCAGTGGTGGACCCAGATTCTGGTTTCTAGGGGGGTTGGAGGAGCAGGTTGGCAGTGGCTGAGCCAGCCTGCTGAGTTTGACCACCCACTGAAGGGCTCTGGGCCAGTGGTGGACCCAGACTGCCTGGAATTTGCTCTCATGTAAACCCAGAGCCCAGATCGCAGACCTAGGGTGATCCTGGACTTGGGGGCCTCTGCTCTGTCCTCTTTTTTGAACCTGTTTTGGGGATCCTCGGCTTAGCCCTGTGGGTTTCAGTTAGGCAAACACACTGAGCTTTGGGGCTTGGGATGGGAAATGGGGAATGGTGTGGCTCTCAGACACTCTTGTCATCTCCAGCAACATCAAAATCTTCAAGTAGGGCACTCCTGGAAATCTTTTTGCTGGTTGCAGGATGGGAGCAAGCATTTGGGCACCCTGGGTGATTTCTTTAATTTCTCCCAGTTGAGAGAGACAATGAGACATAGTAGGAAAAGCTCAGGCTTTTCAATAAAATGGACCCGGTGTGTATCCTGGCTTTGCCCCTTGCAGCTGTGTGACCTTGATCGAGCTACTTAATCTCTCTGAATGTGCTTTCTCATCTGTGGAGTGGGAGGTGGTACGGAACATAGTACCTACCTGGCAGAGCTGCGGTGAAGGGTAAATTAGATAACCTGTAGGTGCTCGGTAATTGACAACTATCATTATCATGTGGGAGAGAACCAAGGTGAGAGGGGTGCAGGTTGCCCAGACTCCTCCCTGACACACTCGCGTGTGCACACGGATGCACACACACCCATTCCTGCAGCTGCCAAAGGGATCCTGTTAAAAGTGTGTTCTCTGCTCAAAGTCCACTGCCCAGAGTCAAAGCCAAAGTCTTCATGAAGGCCACAGACCCTCTGTGATCTGCCCCCTCCTCACTTTCTCTCTCTGACCTCATCAGCCACCACTAGGCTTCTTGCTGATCCAGGAAGGCCCAGGCACACTCTCGCCCCCGAGTCTAGACACTTTCGTCCCCTCTGCCAGGAATGCCCTCCCCACTTTGCCCAACCCCACCAGACATCTGCCTAGCTTGCTTCTTCACCCCCTCCCATCTCTGTTCAATGCCGTCCTCTCAACGAGGCCCCTCTGGTAGTTAAGTCCCTCTGCCAGGAATGCCCTCCCCACTTTGCCCAACCCCACCAGACATCTGCCTAGCTTGCTCCTTCACCCCCTCCCATCTCTGTTCAATGCCGTCCTCTCAACGAGGCCCCTCTGGTAGTTAAGCGGTGGCCCCCACCTCCCCATTTCTCTCTCCTCCTCCTCCTCTCCTTTCCTCGCTTTATTTCTCCCATAGCCTGATCATCACCTGGCACATGTATTTTGTTGATTATCTCCACTCTCAAGAATGTAAGTTCCACAAAGGCAGGGATTTTTGTCTATTGTGTTCACATTCACAGTAATCCCCAGGGCCTAGGCACAGAAATAGGTGCTTAATGTTTGTTGAGTGAATACTCGAAAGATGTCAGGGACTCACGTTCTGGCTAGTGCTGGTAAGGGGGCATGGGCCATGGCATGAAGGATATCATCGCTTTCCGTTTTTGCCAAATGAGTGAGTTGGAATAGACCCCCCCAAGAGACCATGAACCTGTGGGAATGGTGCACGTCATTGCGTGCGTCCCTGCCTCCATGCATTTTTCTGGGACTCGAGTCCCTAGCTTCTTGCAGACATTTAACAGTCTATGACCTCCCAGAGGAGCTAAGCACCTTCCCTGCTCTGACATTTCATGGTTGGCTCTGATAGGCTCCCAGCTTTGCTTTCTACGCACCTATGATGCGAACACTCCAAGATCTTATTCAAGTCTCAGCAGCCACAGTGATCCTGACCCCAAGGCAGGAAGGGGGAATCCGAGGGGGCCTTGGCAGGGTCAGGGTGGAGGGCGCAGGGGTGCCTGTGGAGACACGGGAGGGAAGACCAAAGGAGACTTCTACATTACATGTGCTGTTTTCTTCCTTTTATTTAAAAGGAAGTATATTTAAAGCAAGTTTGACAAAACGTGAACAGTTGTCAATGCTGGATACCGGGCACAGAGGTGTTTATCACAGAGAGCTTTGTGCTTTTTCTGTATTTCAAAAAATTCTTTAAAAAAAAGTACAGATTTGGGGGTGGGCAGGACAGTCTATAGCTCTTGATTAGGAACAGAGAGACAATTTCCGGGGGGCCTCGGGAATCTGAACTTTGGGTATTTTTGCAGTGTGTGGGTGGGTGGGAAGAGGGGATGGCTGGGGTCTGGGCCCACACCTAGAGAGCACCCCTCCTCCCCTGCACCCCCCTCCCAGGTCTCAGTTTCCTGCCTTCCTGGGGAGTGGGGAAAAGGCTGAGAGGCCCCGTGCTGGGGGTGAAGCTAATTCATTAGTGACGCCTCGACAAGGACCGGGCGCCCGCAGCGCCGGCGTGATTCATCATCATGATTGCCCCGCTGCCAGCCTGCGTGGGCTCGGAACGCCAGCACATTTACCTTTACCCACTGAGAAGGGCCTGGTGGGAGGTGAAGGTACAGGATCTACCAGAGCAAGAAAAAGACTCGAGAGGAAGCAAAAGACTTGGAGAAAGAAGAGGGCTGGTGCTCCATGCTCCCGGCCCCAGGAAGCCCTGCCAGGCTCCTGCTGGAGCGTAGGGTCCCATGCAGCTGCTGCCCGTGCAACAGAGCCCAAGAGGGCGCCTAGTGCTGGAGTGCCAGCCCCAAGCAGGTGCTGAGGGTGGGCTGGCTGGGCTTCCTCCTCCACAGCGAATGTTCCCTTGGGGGCAGAGGAGTAAGGAAGTGCTCGTCTTATCCCATCAGCCTGGCTGGGTTTCCCCCGGCTTTCTGCTCTCTGAAGTGTGCACCTCTTCTGAGAAGTCTCCCGAATGAGTTGAAGGGAGAGAGCCGGGTTGGGACTCATGTGAAGTCTGGGAGGCGCTTGAAGCCCCTCCGGCTGGGGCTGAGAATCCTTGTAGATCCCAGGTCTGGTGTCGGGACTCTCTGCGCTCTGCCTCTGCCTGGGTCCCCTACCTCGGCCTGGAGTCCTGGCTGCATCTTGTCAATCTTTCCCAGGATGGGGGTCCATGGCTAAGTCCCCGGCTCAGAGTAACACCTGCCTCTGTGTCCCCATCACCTGTTCACTCCACAACACCCCTTGCCAGAGTACGACTACCATTACTCTGCCCTTTCATTTCTTCATCCAACAAATATATATATATGGAGTATCTGAGCAAAAATAAGCCAGGAGCAGGCCGGCCCATGGCTCACTCGGGAGAGTGCGGTGCTGATAACACCAAGGCCGCGGGTTCGGATCCCATATAGGGATGGCTGGTTTGCTCACTGGCTGAGCGTGGTGCTGACAACACCAGGCCAAGGGTTGAGATCCCCTTACCGGTCATCTTTAAAAAAAAAAAAAAAAAGCCAGGAGCAAAAACAGTACGTGCTGAGTAATTTCATTTCCATGAACTTCAAGGACAGGCAACGCTGGTCCGTGATGGTAGAGGTCAGGATCATTGTTGCCTCTGGGAGGTGGGGATGCGCTGGAAGAGGCACAAGGGCACTGTTGGGTGACGGAAATGTGACATGTGTACATTTGTCAGAACACATCCAATGGTACACTTACGATCTATGCATTTCACTGGATGTAGAGTTTGCCTCCGTTTTTTCAAATGTTAAAATTTTCCCTTGAATGTCTCCTTTATACCAGACCTTGTGCCAGCAGGGGAGGAGACAGACACACTGGTCTATTGTTAAGAGCACGGGCTCTGGAGTCACCCTACCTGGCTTCAGATCCCAGCCGCTCACCAGCTGGGTGACCTTGGACACATCACCCAGCTCAAGTCAAACCTCTCCGAGCCTCAGTTTCCCCATCTTTAAAATTGGGGTAACGAGGGTGTCTACCTCACAGGCTATGGCAAGGATTCAATACAATGTGTTTGGCACAGTGTTGGGCACATGGGAGGCTCGCAACAAGTGGGAGCGAGGTTGCCCGCCAGGAGCTCTGGCAGGAGGGCTCCGAACGCGAGCCGAGGAGGCAGGGGCGAGCGGCTGCCGCTGGGGGGAGCATGCGCAAGAAGAGACACAGAATTAGGGCGGTCATCCTCGGTGGCGCTCAAAGGCGTTCACGTGTCGCACTCCCCTGTCCACCGCAGCCACACACATTTCCTGAGCATGGACGGAGGGCACAGGCGCGAGATAAGGGCGCGAGTGCATGGGGTGATGGGCAAGCTGCTGGGCAGTGGACGGGGCCGGGGCGGGGCCAAGCCCGAGGGCCCCTCCAATCCTCAGACGTGAGAAGGGCCACAAAGTAACACTGTTCTGAGTTACTATTCCGAAGTGACCCCAGCAGGCAGACTGGTCGCACGCCGCTGGACGTGAATGGCCGGCAGTGACCGCGCCCTCAGCCCCTCTACGAGAGTCACTTGTCCAGAGTCCTGGGTGCCCGGTTTCTTCTTCTTGGACCCGCGGATCTGGGGCCACTGGAGGAGTAGACAGCGTCGGACGTCGGGTCTCGGTGCCAGCGCAGTGCCAGGTTTGCCGGGAGCGGACCCCTCAGGCTTGTGCTGGTCCCCGGGGCGGGAAGGAGGGACCGGCGGGGGGCGGGCTCGGGCGCCGGGACCCCGCTGGGGTGGTGCCGTGNCGCCTCTCCCTGGGCGGCACCCGGCTGCTGGCGCTGCCCGCCGACTTCGCGCAGCTGCAGAGCCTGCGCTGCCTGTGGATCGAGGGCAACTTCCTGCGGCGCTTCCCGCGGCCGCTGCTGCGCCTGGTGGCGCTGCAGTCGCTGCAGATGGGCGACAACCGGCTGCGCGCGCTGCCCGCCGAGCTGCCGCGCATGACGGGCTTGCGCGGCCTCTGGCTCTACGGCAACCGCTTCGAGGAGTTCCCGCCCGCGCTGCTGCGCATGGGCCGCCTGCACATCCTCGACCTCGACCGCAACCGCCTGGGCGGCTTCCCCGACCTGCACCCGCTGCGCGCCCTGCGCGTCTTCTCCTACGACCACAACCCGGTCACTGGGCCCCCGCGCGTCGCCGACACCGTCTTCCTCGTGGGCGAGGGCGCCGTCGAGCGCATGGCCGAGCGCGACGAGCCCACGCCCAGGCCGCCTCCCCGGCGCCCGGC